GAAGTCTATCACAACAATTGTTTGGCATTGATGTCTGCGAATTTCATGCCAATAAGCTGCCTCGACTTGTTCGATTATGTTATCAATTCAATTTCATATTTATTTTCACATTTTCACTTCGCGATCCTTCTCTGTTCTTTTTTCCGTTATTTACACATGTAGGTCATTTCATTGTTATCCACATTTGATATCATCATTTATCACATACTGCTAAGACACTCTTGTCTGTCCACTACAACTGACAAGAATTAACGCAATTGGCGAAGCATACCAATGTGACAGCGGGCCAATAGAGAGAAGGGTCCTTGCCATAATGCGGTTTGCACGCCAATTTTCGTATGTGCGTTAAACAAGCCGAATAGTTTGGCTGAATATTTGGCTATTCGGCTACGCTCCTGGCCGAATATTCGGTATTCGGCCTGAGGCTGAATATACTATTTGTTGCAACACTAGTAAAAACAGACATTAGGATTATTACATTATTTTGTACTTCTAACCCTTCTATTATATTAAATTATAGTATTTGATTTATATAACTACAAAGGTTATCTTAAGTAAGGATTTATCACACCAAGTGCCCAATATAACACATTTTAAAAATTCTTTATTTCTCTATGTTACTATCTTGATTAGTTGGTATGATAAACCATTGTGTAAGATAACCTTTGTAGTTATATAAATCAAATTCTATAATATATTAAACATTAAAATGAAAATAATGTAAAGAGGTTGATTATTTTAGCCTACCATTGTCACGTTTATTGCAATACTCAGATGGCATAAAATGGCACAATTTCATTGGTTAAATGGATACCAATTAAAAATATGATATCTTAAATTTTTTAAGATATCATATTTTCTAAATTTTTTTCTAATGTTAGCTCTAAGAAACTGTTTCATTCACAGCCAAATATCATGATCTTTAATTAATCAAATTTTGCAAAAAATGGACCAAATATTTAAACTCAGCACCCTCGGAAATCACTTAAAACATATTTGTGCTCACCAGTAACCTCATATTATGTAATTTTCCTATTTAAATGCCACCATACCACTGGGTCCAATAGGAAGAAGGGACTGTCATGGAAAGGAGTTGAAGTTAATTTGACCAATAGTAGTAGTTGACCTCCTTCCGGAAGAGAGGATGGTCAACGACTACTAATCAATACTGGTCTACTATTAATATTTAAAAATGCTTCATGTTGGCCAAATTTGTTTGAATAAAAAAAAAATCTTGTAAAAATGTGAGAATAATTGCTGTTATGAAGAAAAAAAACTGGTGAAATCAGGTTGAAAAAGTAATGCTCAGTAAAAGCATCTAACCTGTAAGTAAATAAAACTTTTGAAAGTTGTGGCATAAGAATACTGGAGTCAGATTTGACAGTAAATTCAAAATGTGAATAAAGTGCACATTACACAGACTACAGCTACAGGAAGTTTTGAATGAAGCAGTATTGCCATGATAATAAATAGGAAATAAACATCAGCACAGAAAAAAACTTTGAGCTCTACTTTGTACCTTAAAATTGCTGCACATACATTAATTTGGCTGAATGTTAAAACATCTTTCAGCAGTATAAGTGAAGGAAGTTTGGGGCAATGGGTTCATCAGTTAATAATGAAGATGAAATCTGGGGAGGGGTAGTGTGTCCAGATTTTGTGGTGTATGTCCTTGTAAATATCACATTTATAGAAAAATTATTAGAATTAGTTTGGTTTATTTGGTTAAGGTAATGTGACATGGGATGAGCAATCTGCCAAGGGAATACATCCTGGGAAGTCTTTTATGTAAAGCTGGTCCCTATTTTGGTGGCACTAACCTGAAGAAAACCCACAAAACTCCATGTGGCCAGTCCATTGGCAATGCACAAACTCACAACTGACTATCAGTGTTTGGTGGTTTTATCCACTTGTTTACTGAAAGGTACTTATTGGGTTGCAATTTGAAAAAATTGTAGACTTATAAATTACAATTGTTGTCTGTCTGACTGTCCTTCCTTAAACTCGAGAATGGAGTTAGATAGATAAAAGTTGATATAAGATACGGAAAGCTTAAGAGTAGGAGGTCTAGATTAACAATACACAAGCTTCCAGTTTGTTTCTGAAGTCATGTCATTTCAATTCAAAAATTTCTCCCTGAACAGAGTTAGATGCATAACTGGCACTACTCTATAAATAATGGGAAAAGTATGATGTACAGGGACACTCCAAGCAGGCAAGTGCTATGTGCTACTTGTTGCAGTGATGGCATAATGGCATGTTTATTTCGCACTATATCATTGTCACAGTAATTAAGTGAATATAATATATATTTTTTAAAATTATATTTAGTTTATTATTTTCTTAAATTTTTTGTCAATAGATGACGCTACATGTAAAACCAGCAAATCTAATGTAGACAGAAATTAATTGATAAATAGAAATCCAATCAATATTTTTAGTTTCACATACTTCTAACCTGGACATTATCCAAATTAGAAGTATATGAATGTAACTGCCAAGTTTCATAGCATTTGGTTGAACGGCCTAGGTTGCTTAGTGAAGATACAAACATCCACATTTATATATAAAATATGTATATTTTATTTTGTGTTATTTTGTACTAAATTATTAACTTGTTAAATATTATCACTAATTTTTGTTTCTGTTACCCCCTTGTAATGAACCAAAGTTCATACAATAAAGCATTTGATTGATTGATTGATATATACATATGTGAGGTCTGAGGATTGGGTGGAAAGGTGTCACGACAGACAAGCAGTCAACACTGTCGTGTAGGAGTAGAACGACTCACGGAGACAGGCTTCCCATTTCAAACTGTTTATTAAATATATGCATATTCTTGCAAATCTTAAACTGACACATAAGGCCTATCCCACAAGGGTAACAAGTCCGTTCAAAATGTTCAATAGTTCAGTTGCTCGTTTGAACTTCCGGTGAAGGCGAGGTAGAGATCATTGGCCCCGGGGCGCACAACTTAACTTGAAGTGATAATTTCAGTGGTGGGGTGAACCTGGGCGAAACTTGCCAGGAGCAGAAGCCGAAGATAAATCCGAACATCGACTCAGCTTTTGTTGTAAAATGCAGCTCGAATCCAGGAACGGAGTACTCTAAATCAAGGACCAAAAACTCTCAATGTCCTTGAACTGTGCTGTTTTATAAAGTTTTCATCCAAAGGAACGTCTCCATTGGTCTTTCATCATCACCTGGTGACAATTCGAAACCCAATGGAGGGCATGAGAGTGGTCAACGTCGCGACAGAATACAACTCCTCTCCCATTGCGTTTTCCTTGACTTTAGTCCCTTCTATTGTTTTAACAAATTACATCAAAAACTTCCATTGTTCAATCGAGATCTTTGATTCCTCTTACAAGCGTCTGAAAAGGTGATCATTAATTTCTCGATTGTTATCCCACATTCGGACACCCCATCGACCCCATTTGGATCCTCACACATATATAGATGAAAGAATTATCTATAGCTAATGAAAACTCAAAAATTAAGATTTAAAATTTATTTTAAATAATTAAAATGTATCTATACTGTATATACCTAATTCAGATTAATAGTTACATCATAAACCATTATTAAACGAATTTGAACTTATGCAAAGTCAAAAAATTTGACATATTAATTTCAGATGTATTTAAAAACATTTGTGACTTGCCACCATCTATTTGTAATTATTAATAAGTTTTCTTAGCATTTCTAAATTATGATTATGACTAAATTATATATAAAATTAAAATTAATAAATTAAGACAAATATGTAGAAAATTAAGACAAATATAGTCTAAAGTTTTGATTGAAATATTTGAAAAATTTTTTAATGTACTGTAAGAATGATAATTTTTTAAATAGTTTTTTTCTTTGAAATATTTTTTAAAATATTATTATTAATAAGATTAATTAAAAATGATACTGAAACAGAAACGCTATAAAATTTCAAAATTATATTAACAAAAAAAAAAAGTTTCAACAATTTTATATTTCCTCAAATTTAATAAAATTACTTTTATATACTAATTACGAGAGAAAATATCCAGATAATTATTTATTATATACACACATTTTATTGTTTTATTTTGATTACAAAGAAATAGATATAGATGATATCTTGGCATTGATTAATTTTATCAGTAATCTATATTATAAATATTTCATAAATATTTATAATATAGATTATTGCCCAGAAAGTTTCTATCAATATTACATATGCCAACATAATTAAATATTGTTTTACTATTACTACAAAAAAAATAATAATAAAAATTAGTAAAAACATTTATTGATTAAAAATATAATAAAATATTATGAAGATATAAAGAAAACCTAACAATTTCGAAAAAATTACGACTAAGTTATTGTTCGAAATTTCAAAGAACTGGTTATAAAAGAACAGGTTCTCTCTTCCTCTCTTTGTAGTATGTAATAAGCATTGGCTGAATGTACAGTACAGTACATTACATTGATAATATATTTCAATCTTAAATATTTTTTATCAATTTAAATGAATCTTCCGTATGAAAATCGATGAACATCTAGAAATTATTTTTCAGATTCTACAGAATTTGGAAATCTGAAAAATATCCAATTATAACGTATAACAAATTTACCAGTAACATCGCTATAACTTGTTATACGTTTATATCTACAAAATTCATCTTAATAAACCAAAAATTTTAAAAAATTATACTAGTACTCTGTCTTACAAAGACAAATAAAATACACTACATAATATCATTATATTATTCAGGCTATGCTTTATATTCTATATATGGTAATACTGTACACCTAATATTTTTGTTTCATAACAAGAAAACCGATATATGTGAAAAGCCGGCATAATTCAATAAGATTTAAGATCACGATGAATCACTATATTTAATTAAATATTAATGAAATTATAGTGTTATATTTTCATTTCACATTGATCTAAATGAAATTTACCATGCTAATTACTGAATAATTAATATTAATGAATTATTTTTAAATCAAACCTTTTAAATACTAATATATCTTGATATTTAGATTGTTCGTGATGAAGAACTTCGTCCACAGCTAACGACAGAACGTGTCCTCCATCAACAGTTCCCAATTCGCTAAACCATCCTTCCTTAAAAGCATCCATGTTATTCCTGCCTATAAATAATACAGATTAAGAATTATGAATGATTTACTACAAATAGCATTACAAGAACCGAAGCACTCCCCACCTGACTTCCCTTGAAAGAACACTGGCAATAAAAACTGATTTTTTCCCACATGTTTAACGGTCAATGCCCCCTATGAATTTATGTCAAAATATTCAGTTTTTATTTTTAATATTTTAAAAATCCGTTTGGTTTAATAACAAAAACTACTTTTTATTTATTATTTTGAAATTCTTTAAATTTTAAAAATTTNCCCGACTTACGCGGTTATCGCTCAGTCCCACCTATCGCGTAAGTTCGAAGTATTACTGTATTTAACAAAAATGATCAAAATCAAGTTCACTTTCTTAATTCAAAAAATGAATTGAAATTATTTTAATCGTAAACACCAGAAATCAGCGACAAGTCGCCAAAGATTTGACAGGCTGCATTTAGACTTCCCACCCATCAGCCACGGCAATTTGGAGAATAATTTCCTGCGAAAAACGGAAATTTGAATACGAAAGAAAAAAAAATAGACAAGAACTATTTTATATTGATTTTATTTTAGATACATTTCAAATGTTTTAAGTCTCAAATTTTATTATTTATTACAAAAAATATTGCGTGTTAATTTTTCCCCCTTCGACTTCGAATTTCGGCGGTTGGTCGACAGGAAGGTGTTGTAAATGTGTCCCCAAGCCTATAACAAAATAATATAATTGTTCTTAAAGCGGATAAAGCAGAATAACTTCTTTTAGTTGTTAACTAATGAGAAGGAAGCAAGCGGTTGGAATTGGTCAAAAATGGAGATTTTACAGAACTAAAAGAGGATTTTACAACTGAAATAATAACAAATATAAATAAAGAAATTATAAAAATTATTAAGAAAGGTCAATTGCCAAAACATAGTCTAAAAGAAATAGGCGATAGAAGAATAATCACCACAATCAATATATAAGTTATATTAACGTAACGAAAACTTTTATAAACTATAGGGTAGTTTAAAATATCCTAAAACCGTTTGAGAAGCGAAGCAGTTCTTGACGAACCACGCATTTTGCTTTTCAAGTCTTTTTCAATAGCTTTATAGAGTTTCCATTTTGTTTAATAGTAGCATGTTAATGAAAAGTGTCCTGTAATATTTCGGGGTAGACGATACTTAAATTAGAAATGCCGTGTGTGTTATGCGAAAAATATATATACAAATTTTCAGTCTATGCTGCTGTATAAAAAACTTTATATAAGATTTTAGTAGTTAGATGTAACGAGTAGCGTAAGGTTTGAAAGAAATAGTGAAAGAATGAAGTCGACGGTAATAATATTTGCATAATTTGGCCACGAAAATAAAAAAATTAATACAGTAGAAGATCGATTATCCGACCCCCGATTAACTGTCACACCGGTTAACAGAACGTTCTAGTCGGCAAATTCAAATGTCCGCTAGTGATGTGACGCTACAATATTTGACTACGTCTTGGCTACTTTAGTAGTATTTTTACGTGTTTTAGCTGGCAACATGGCTCGACCATGAAAGGGAGCCAGTATTTAAACGAGGCTTAACTTATTAATTCTGCTAAATTTAGCGGATTGTGCTAAATTTCATATATCATATATCTCTTAAATAAGAAATTGTACACGTATAAGTTAACTTATTGATGCTGCGAAATTTCGCGGATTGCGTTATAAAGTTAAACTAATATCATATATCTTTTAAATATGCAATTCTACTAATATATGTCAATTTATTAATGCCGCGAAATTTCGCGGATTGTGCTATAAAGTGAAGCAAATATCTTATATCTTTTAAACGAGAAATCATACACGTATAAATTAACTTATCGATTCAGCAAAATTTCGCAAATTGCGTTATAAAGTCAAGCTAATATTATATATCTTTTAAATATGCAACTCTAAACGTATATGTTAACTTATTAATGCCGCGAAATTTCGCGGATTGCGATATAAAGTCAACCTTTATATCGCAATCCTTTTGAAATATGCAATTTTCCCATATATGTTAACTTATTTATTCAGCAAAATTGCGCGGATTTTGTTATAGGGTCAAGTTAATATTATATATCATTAAAATATGCAATTTTACACGTATATGTTAACTTATTGATGCCGCGAAATTTCGCGGATTGTGCAATAAAGTTAAGCTAATATCATATATTTCTGTAATAATAAATTATACACGTATAAGTTAACTTATTAATTCTGCGAAATTTTGCGGATTGTGTTATAATATCAAGCTAATATCATATATCTTTTAGATGTGCAATTCTACAAGTATATGTTAACTTATTAATACCGCGAAATTTCGCGGAATGCGTTATAAAGTAAAACTAATTTTATATATTTTTTAAATATGCGATCCCACACGTATATGTTAACTTAATAATGCCGTATAATTTCGCGGATTTTGCTTTAAAGTTAAACTAATATCATATATTTTTAAAATAAGAAATTATACGCATATAAGTTAACTTATTGATGCTGCGAAATTTCGCGTATTGCGTTATGAAGTCAAGCTAATATCATACATCATTTAAATATGCAATTTTACTAGTATAAGTTAACTTATTAATAACGCAAAATTTTACAAATTGCGATATAAAGTGAAGCTAATATCAAATATCTGTTAGATATGCGATTCTACAAATATATGTTAACTTAATAATGACGCGAAATTTCGCGTATTTTGCTTTAAAGTCAAGCTAATATCATATATCTTTTAAATAAATAATTATACACTTATAAGTTAACTTATTGATGCCGCGAAATTAAGCGGATTGTGCTATATAGTCAAGCTAATATCATATATCTTTTAAATATGCTATTCTACGCGTATATGTTAACTTATTTTAATGCTGCTAAATTTCACGGATTGCATTTTAAAGTAAAGCTAATATCATATATTTTTCAAATATGTAATTTTACAAATATATGTTAACTTATTAATGTTGCGAAATTTCGCGGATTTTGTTATACAGTTAAGCTAATATCGTATATCTTATAAATATGCAATTATAAACGTATATGTTAACTTATTTAGCCGCAGCCATACTATACTTGGTTGGGAAATGGAAATAATCTAGCACTTATTTAAATGGAAATTCGGGCAGAAGAAAATAAATGTCGTTTTCGATTTTTAGAATAAATTTTTACTATTATTACTTGTTTGTTTAATATATGATAATTTTCGGAATATGTTCATGATGAACATTTACCTGACGTGACGAGTGGCGACCCAATTTTTTTTTTTTTTATAATATTCTGAATGTTATTGATAATAATTAAAGTTGTTTTATGTTCTAAAATAGATTAAATGTTTTATGTTCTAAAATGATACGAAACAGTCTCGGAGAACAAAAGTATCGCGTAGTCCCGCCTATTCACCAGGTAAATTAATGCCATATATTTTTTAAATTATAAAAGAAATTATAATTTTCATTTAATTCTTACCTTTTTTTGATGCACCCTTAGCTGGGAGAATAAGGAGCCTGTTTTTGAGCTGTGTTACCAGGTTTTATGGCGGAAGGTCTCTGCGAACTTGTACTATGCGGTTATCTGATTATATTTTCAAGGTAAATAAACCTTATGTTTATGTTTACATCTTGTCTAGTTTCGTTCAAGAACCTTGTAACGGAGGTGTTGTAACACCTTTGTATATAAATTTTTATTTGTGTAGAAATATAAATAATAAAGATTTGAACAAATATAAAAATTTCATTTTATTTTGCAAACTTCAAAAACGCATAAAATATCTACAGTACACAATAATTATTAAAAAAACAAATTATATTTTCAAAAAGTGGTAATTAACATTATTTCACATTTTTAGATAATACGGTATGTACTACGTACGTACTGTACATTGCACATCTACTCGAAAGAGCATTTTTTTAACTGTACAATTATTTCTCTTTTCTTTCTTATACCAAAAAGTTTAAGTCTAAATGTTATAAAACGTTTTATTATTTTTCTTTTAATAATGTTGTGACATTCTTTAAAATGAATTTTCTGAATTTCAAAATCAGAATTTATAATTAGTCTTGTTTCTTCTTAAAAAAAAAATATANCGAAATTTCGCGGATTTTGTTATACAGTTAAGCTAATATCGTATATCTTATAAATATGCAATTATAAACGTATATGTTAACTTATTTAGCCGCAGCCATACTATACTTGGTTGGGAAATGGAAATAATCTAGCACTTATTTAAATGGAAATTCGGGCAGAAGAAAATAAATGTCGTTTTCGATTTTTAGAATAAATTTTTACTATTATTACTTGTTTGTTTAATATATGATAATTTTCGGAATATGTTCATGATGAACATTTACCTGACGTGACGAGTGGCGACCCAATTTTTTTTTTTTTTATAATATTCTGAATGTTATTGATAATAATTAAAGTTGTTTTATGTTCTAAAATAGATTAAATGTTTTATGTTCTAAAATGATACGAAACAGTCTCGGAGAACAAAAGTATCGCGTAGTCCCGCCTATTCACCAGGTAAATTAATGCCATATATTTTTTAAATTATAAAAGAAATTATAATTTTCATTTAATTCTTACCTTTTTTTGATGCACCCTTAGCTGGGAGAATAAGGAGCCTGTTTTTGAGCTGTGTTACCAGGTTTTATGGCGGAAGGTCTCTGCGAACTTGTACTATGCGGTTATCTGATTATATTTTCAAGGTAAATAAACCTTATGTTTATGTTTACATCTTGTCTAGTTTCGTTCAAGAACCTTGTAACGGAGGTGTTGTAACACCTTTGTATATAAATTTTTATTTGTGTAGAAATATAAATAATAAAGATTTGAACAAATATAAAAATTTCATTTTATTTTGCAAACTTCAAAAACGCATAAAATATCTACAGTACACAATAATTATTAAAAAAACAAATTATATTTTCAAAAAGTGGTAATTAACATTATTTCACATTTTTAGATAATACGGTATGTACTACGTACGTACTGTACATTGCACATCTACTCGAAAGAGCATTTTTTTAACTGTACAATTATTTCTCTTTTCTTTCTTATACCAAAAAGTTTAAGTCTAAATGTTATAAAACGTTTTATTATTTTTCTTTTAATAATGTTGTGACATTCTTTAAAAT